TGGATAGGCGGGAGGAGAGTGAGGGGTTGACTGGGGAGGAGAAGGAGAGACATAGAGGATTAAAGGAAGAGATGGAGAGGTTGATAGAGATAGAGGAGATTAATTGGCGACAGAAATCTAGAGTTACTTGGTTGAAAGAGGGGGATAAATGCACTAAATTCTTCCACAGGATCGCCAGTTCTAATAGGAGGAACAACTTCATCACAATTTTGGAGGTGGATGGGGTTACTTATGAGGAACCACAGGAAATTGGAAGCCAACTGGTTCATTTTTATCAGAACCTCTATCGGGAGCAATTTGAATGGAGACCAGAATTGGAAGGATTGCATTTTTCTACAATCAATGAGGATGATGCCCGATGGATGGAGAGACCATTTGGAGAGGATGAAATTAAGGAGGTCGTTTTCAGCATGAACGATGATAAGGCCCCGGGACCGGACGGTTTCTCGTTCTCATTCTACAAAGCGTGTTGGGATGTGGTTCGACTGGACATTGTGAATACTTTATCTTATTTTTTTGAACGTGGCAGATTTCAGAGAAGTTCTAATGCCACATTTATTGTGCTCATCCCTAAGAAACCGGGAGCGACTGATATTAAGGACTTTCGCCCCATTAGCCTTGTCAGCGGGGTGTATAAGATTATTTCGAAAGTCCTGGCAAACAGATTAAAGGAGGTACTGGGAAAAGTAGTGTCCAAGTTTCAGAATGCATTTGTAAAAGGGCGTCAGATTTTGGACTCTGTGCTTATAGCGAATGAATGCATAGATTCAAGAATGCGCCTAAGGGCCCCAGGGATGCTTTGTAAGCTAGATATTCAGAAGGCTTACGACCATGTGAATTGGGATTTCTTGTTATGTATGCTCAGGCGCTGTGGCTTTGGGGATAAATGGTGTAAATGGATTCAATTCTGTATTTCTACTGTTTCATTCTCAGTTTTGGTCAACGGAACACCAGAGGGTTATTTCCGGAGCAGTAGAGGCTTGAGACAAGGGGATCCATTATCCCCTTTGTTATTTGTCATTGTGATGGAGGCTCTCAGTAGGATGATTGAAAGAGCAGTGAGAGCGGGTTTGATAAAGGGTTTTATGGTTGATCAATTGCAGGTGTCTCATCTGTTATTTGCAGATGACACGCTGATCTTATGTGATGCAGATGTAGAACAATTCAGGAACTTGCGCCGTCTGCTCTTATGTTTTGAAGCGGTGTCTGGTTTGAAAATTAATTTGGGAAAGTCTGAGGCTATCCCAGTTGGGGAGGTTAATAATGTCGAGGAGCTGGCTGATATATTGGGTTGTAAGGTTGCGCAGTTGCCAATGTCATATGTAGGACTCCCATTAGGAGCACGATTTAGAAGTACCCATATCTGGAATGGTATTGTAGAAAGGATGGAGAGAAG